TCCAGCCTCTGGTACTGGAGCACAGAGCTGGGAGTAGTCCCTGAGCACTGCCAGGTGAGGCCCAAATCCAACCCCACCCTCTGCCCCCCGCCAAAAAAAACCCCAAGCACACCAACTCTCATGGGAGTGAGATCCCAGGGACAAAGGGGTGAATTTCTGCAGCCCCGAGAACGGTGGGCAGACCTGAAGGTGACAGGTCATGCAGGGGCCTCTGTCCCCCTTCCCTCTGCCCCCCAGCCTGGAATACATCCATCAAGACACCTGATGAGGGACCCCGCAGAACTGGCCAATGGCTGTGGGCGGAGCCACAGGGAAGCCTGGGGGCACTGGAGGGGGTCCCTAGCTTGGACCACCAAGCTCCACACTCCAGAGATGGCGCCATTAAAGACTCAGCTAAGTCTCCACTGGGTTGTCAATATTCTGGGTGTTTTGTTGGTTGGTTTGTTTGGGGACACTGGGAAGTACTCAGGCCTTACTCCTGGCTCTGTGCTCAGGAATCACTCCTGGCAAGGCACGAGGGTTAGGGTGCCAAAGATCAACCCGGGTCAGCCACAGACTGTCTCTTGGCCCTATTCTGTTTTTATCTATGGGGGGGGGGCACACCCGGTGATGCTCAAAGTTACTCCTGGCTCTGCTCAGGAATCACTCCTGGAGGTGCTCAGGGGATGCTGGGGATTGAACCCAGTTTGTCCACGGACAAGGCAAGCACTTTACCCATTGTACAACCGCTCTGGCTCTAGTCCATATATTAAAGATGTGTTTAGGGACTCCCCAAAGGCAGAGAACAGTGTGCTGCAGAAGTGTACTTGACTAACGAGATTGAATGGGTTTAAAGGCCTGGCATCCTACCAACCCTGGTTTGAATCTTGTCACCACATATGGTGCCCCAAGCACTGCCGGGAATCGCTCCTGAGCACAGAGTCAAGAACAGTCTCTCAGCACCATCAGGTATAGCTATAAAAACCCAACACAAAGCAAAAACCCAAATCAAGAACCAGAGATGTTGGGAATGCTGGTAGTGGGAAATGGACACTGGTGAAGGGATGGGTGTTGAAACTTCATTATGACTGAAAAACAATCAGGAACAATTTTGTCACGATGTATCTCACTATGTGATTCAATAAATAAGTCATTTTGGGGGGGTCACACCCAGCTATGCTTAGGGGTTACTTTTGGCTCTGCACTCAGAAATTACACCTGCCAGTGCTTGGGGGACTATATGGGATGCTGGGGATTGAACCCTGGTCGGTTGCTTACAAGGCAAACGCCCTACCCATTATACTATTGCTCTGGCTCCCAGAAATAACTAATTTAAAAAACAAAAACAAAAACAGAGTTGTGACTCAGTGGTAAAGCACTTACCTTGCACATGAGACCTGGGTTTGATCCCAGCACTGCAAAAACAAAACAAAACAATACAACTAATTTTTTTTTTGGTGTGTGTGTGTGTGTGTGTGTGTGTGTGTGTGTGTGTGTGTGTGGTGGGGAGATAGATTTTGGCACAGAGAGACTGCTCAACAAGCTTTGTATGTGGAAGGCCCAGGTTTCATTCCTGGCATCACTTGGCCTTTGAGGGACTGCCCCCTTAAGCAAAAACAAAGGAAAAATGAGCTGGAGTGATAGACAGTGGGTAAGGTGCTTGTGTTTGATCCTTGGCATCCCATATGGTCCCCTGAGCCCCTCCAGGAGGGATCCTTGAGTGAAGAGCCAGGAGTAAGCCCTGAACACTGCTGGGTGTGACCCCAAACCAAAAAAAAAAAAGGAAGGGAGGGAAGGAGGAGGGAGACAGAGAGAGAGAGAGAGAGAGAGAGAGAGAGAGAGAGAGAGAGGAGAGAGGAAGACAGGGAAAGAGAGAGGGAGGGAGGGAGCGAGGGAGAAAAAGGGAGAGAGAGGGAGAGAGGGAGAGAGAGGGAGGGAGACAGAGAGAGAGGAAGAGAGGGAGAGGGAGAGAGACAGGGAGAGAGGGAGAGGGAGGGAGGAAGGACAAGGACATGGTCAGGCACTGAATCAGGGAGTTTCGAGCCTGCCCCCACCTTCCTCCCCTAGGGAAACCGTCAGATCTTTAGGTGGCTTGTCTCCTGGTGAGACCCCTGCTCTCTGCTCTCATAAGTAAATGGAATATAAAGTGGGAACCTGCAGCCAAAAACCTGGTTCACAGGTAGGACAGCAGGTTTAGAGGCAGAACAGGAGCAAAAGGTGGGGCCGGAGTGAGAGTAGAGCAGGGAGGGCTTTTGCCTTGCACACAGCCGACCCAGGTTCGATCCCCGACATCCCATAAGGTCCCCCGAGCACTGCCAGGAGTAACCCCTGAGCATGGACAGGTATGAGTACAAAAGCAAAATTAAATTAAATGAAAAGAACAGGAGCAAGAGGGAGTCAATGCAAAGACAAAATGCTTCTAAAGAAAGAACCTGCTGGCTGATAGAAAAGATGAAGTCATGAAATTTGCATATAGGTGGATCAACATGCAAAGTATCATGTTAAGCGAAGTGAGTCAGAAAGAGAGGGACAAACATAGAAAGACTGCACTCATTTGTGGAATATAAAGTCACAGAATGGGAGACTAACACCCAAGAATAGCAGAGATAAGTGCCAGGAGGATTACTCCACAGCTTAGAAGCTGGTCTCACATGCTGGGGGAAAACGCAGCTCAGAGAGAGAAGGGACCACCAAGAAAAGGGTGCTGGGAGGGCCCGCTTGGGATGGGAGGTGCGGGTTGAAAGTAGACTATAGACTGAACATGATGGCCACTCCATACCTCTATTGCAAACCACAACACCCAGAAGGAGAGAGAGAGAGAGCAAACAGGAATGCCCTGCCACAGAGGCAGGGTGGCGTGGAGGTGACGGGGTGGGGATGGTGGGAGGGACGCTGGGACCATTGGTGGTGGAGAATGGGCACTGGTGGAGGGATGGGTACTCGACCATTGTATGACTGAAATGCAAGCACAAAAGTTTGTTAGTCTGTAACTGTACATCATGGTGATTCACTAATTAAAAAAAAAAAAAAGAAAGAAAAGAAAGAACCTGCTAGAAGAATCCCCCCCACTCCGCAGCAGGATCCCCTAGCAGTCTCCAGGCCGAATCATTGCCCCCAATTCAATCGATCACCTTTGCAACAAAGTGCCATCAAGGAATCCTGGCTGGAGGACGGAAGGGGGCGGGAATGAATAAGGACTGAACCGTCATCTCGGGTGACGAGAGCCCCTGGGCTCTGGTGCAGCCTCGCCCGTAGGAGGCGCTCCAGGCCCGCACGGAGACTCAGAGCACGTGTCCATTGGCCCGGGGAGCGCAAGTGCCCAGTCAGCCTGACTCACTGGACTCATCTCTGACCGACGCTAAAACCAATTCTCTTTGGGTCGGAGAAGCAGCGCAGGGGGTGCACAGCTGTCTCCTAGTTCCACCCACAGACCTACATCGGGTCCCCAGAGCACCACCAAGAGTGAGCCCTGCTGGGGCCTGAGAGAGAGTACAATGGGCAGGGCGCTTGCTTTGTATGTGGTCCACCTGGGTTGGATCCTGGGCATCCCGTAGGGTCTTTGAGCCCGTCAGGAGTGATTCCTGAGTGTAGAACCAGGAGTAACCCCTTAGCACTGCTGGGTGTGACCAGATCTCCCCTCCAATCTGAGCACAGAACCAGGCATAGCTCCTGACCCAAACCCCACCTCCCTCCCTCCCTCCCTCCAAACAAACAAAAAACCCACAAGTCTCTGATTTCTTGTTCTAAAGCCAGGCAAAGTTGGTGAGCAGTCTGCGAGTAAAAGGTGAAGGTCACTTTGTTTCGGCCACCGGGAAGAGCTACACTCCAGGGCAGGTGGAGACAGGGTGCGGGGCCCGAGAGAGATAGCACAGCAGGTAGGTGCTTGCCTTGCATGCCGCCAACCCAGGTTCAATCCCTGTCACCCCATATGATACCCTGAGCACTGCCAGGAGTAATCCCTGAACGCAGATTCAGGAGTAAGCTCTGAGCACCACCAGGTGTGCACCCCCACCCCAAAAAAGGGGGTGGAGGATGTGGCCAGAGGGGGTGTGTTTACAGACCTAAAAATCAAGTCTCTTATGGAGAAGCCCACAGGCTACTGGGAAGGAAACACGTGCTCAGCCCTGAGAGGCACCAGCCCCATGTTCCTCCGGGAGGCCCAAGGGTTACGAGCATCCCGAGGTCCCAAATGGCAACTTGGAGGGGAGAAGGACTGTGTTGGAGCCCATGGGGTCCGACTCATCCTCTCCAGGTCCCTGCTGCGAGGCCAAGGGGCAGGGGAGGCCCCCAGAAGGACCCTGAGCTACATCGTGAAGCTTGGAGGGAGAAGAGTCATGGCTTCATGGCATGGTGGCTGACACAGTGCTGGCCAGAGGCAGTGGAGACGGTGAGGGACAGCGGGATGGTGTTGCCTTCCCCCAGGACCCCGTGCAGAGTGCAGGGACCTGCTCTAGGGGGCTTGGACAGACCTGCGGGGGACTGCAGAGCTACAGAGAGCCTGTCGGGGGCCAGAGCTATAGCAAGCAGGGAGGGCGCTTCCCTTGCGCACCTGGTTTCCCTATATGGCCCCCCAAGCACTGCCAGGAGTAAGCCCTGAGCACAGAGCTAGGAGAAAGCCTTGGGCACTGTCAGGTGTGGTTCAAAAATAAGCCAAAGGGGGGCTGGGGCAACAGCACAGCGGGTAGGGCATTGGTCTTGCACGTGGCTGACCCTGGTTCGATTCCCAGCATCCCATATGGTCCCCCAAGTTGCAGAGCCAGGAGTAACCCCTGTTCATCACTGGGTGTGACCCAAAAGGCAAAACAAACACACAAACAAAAGTTCCAGGCACAGACCACTGAGCTTTCTGGCCCCTGGAGTTCCAGGTTTAGAACTCCGAGAATTAGCTACCTTTGCCTAAGAAGCGGGGCCTTCACCCAAAGCAGGCAGATGCTCTGTGAAGGGCCGAGTGCTCAGCCAGGTTTGAGAGTCCAGGCAGAAAGACAGTGGTTCCCACATTTTCTTCAGAACCTTTTTATTCATCCTCCCCCCTGTAGAGGTCGTCAGCTTGAACCCAAACAGGCCGAAATCACCCCGAAAGGCCAACTTCATCCCAAGAAGATGAACCCAGCCCCCATTTTGAGCAGGCCAAGTGGGTGCATCACACAGAGCAGCCAAACGCGTTCCCCACCTCCACCCCAGCCCCTCCTGGAGTGTGCACACAGATCTCGGGGAGGGGGGCGCCCAGGTGTCAGCCTTGGCTCCGGCTGCTTGGAGGGAAGGGTGTGAGATGGCAGGGACCCTGGACCTCACCATCGAGCCCGCTGGGATATCCAACGAATGTCTTGGAGAGAGGAGGCAGCCCCTAGGCCTAGAGTTTCCAGGGTCACTGTACAGGCCTCGTAGAACTTAACCCTCGGCTTTCCAGGAAGAAACTTCTGCAGCATGGCTCCCTTGGGAGCCAGGGGGAGGCAGGGGGCCGGGCGGGTGAGGGGCCTGCGGCCGGGAATCAGCCCAAACACCCCATGCTTGCTCTCACTCTCTCCATCTCGTGCAGGAAGCTGTAGAACTGAGGCAAGGTGAGCTCTGGGGAAGAGAAGACCCGGCTTTAGGCAGATGCTTCAGCCACCCCCAGAATCAGCTGAGAAAATGAGTCTGCCCCTGCCCCCCCACCCCCACCACCAGGGGAGACGGTTTTCTTCCTAGTTCTTTCTTGGCTTAGGTGGTCCGGGAAGTTGGGGCTGGGGCACAGATCAGAATGAGGAGCAGAGGACCCTGAGCAAGGAGAGGGTCCCCTAGCACCCGGACAAGGGAAGGTGGAGGCCATGGGGCATGGTACAGGGAGGGGCCAGGGATGCTTGGGCCCACCCCGGAGCTTCCTGCAATCTCCTGCACCTGCTTTCCCTCCTTTTCTGAAAGACTCTGGCACTGCTGGGCATCTGGGCAGCTGCTGCAGCCTGGGTCCCAGGAGGAAACGCAGAGGTGTGGCTGCCCACAGCTACAACCCCACCACCCCACTTTCATTCTTCGGCTTTGGGCCACACCCTGCTGTGTTCAGGGCTTACTCCTGACTCAGGGGTCACTGCTAGCAACACTCAGGAGGCCCCATGGGGTGCTGGGGAATCACACCTAGGATGGCTACAGGAGAGGTAAGTGACTTTGCCCCTATGTGGTCTCTCTGGCCTGGACCCCCTTTTCTTTTTCTGGGAGGATTTGTGGGGGAGGGCCAGAGGGATAGTATAGTGGGTAGGGTACTTGCTTTGTACACAGCTGACCCGGGTTTGACCCGGCACCCCAGCTGGCCCCCCTGAGACCCACCAGGAGTGATTCCTGAGTGCAGAGCCAGGAGTAAGCCAAGGGCATGGCCAGGTGCGACCCCCAAACCAAACCAAAACAATACAAAATTGGATTTGAGGTGGATCTTATGAACCCTGAGGCTGAGAAGAACACGGAGAAAGGGAAAAGGCTCACGAGAGAATCAGACTCACCGATGTACACATTCTCTGTTCCCTTTCCTTTCTTAATCACCAACTTGAGCTGATTCAGGAGGAAAAAAGGAAAGAAAATTAAGTGATGATGACAAGCAAATTCTTGAAACCCAAACTTCCGCTTCAACAGCAACGCTTCGGCGTCTCACTGAGGCTCTCCAGGACAATCTAATATGCCCAGATGCAAACTGCGAACAGGGACAATGAACTTTTCTAGGATCCTGCTTGCTGGGAAGTAGCACGCAACAAGCAGATGAAGCTCCAGTGTGACAAACTGCCTGGAGAGCATCCGAGTATTTCAAAACCCCCAACGCAAATGTAAAGGTAAAGGCCCTCCCGTTGATCGTCGATTTGCTCGAGCGGGCCCAGTAACGTCTCCATTGGAGACTTTGTTGTTACTGTGTCTGGCATATCGAATACTCTCGGTAGCTTGCCGGGCTCTCCGAGAGGGGCGGAGGAATCGAACTCGGGTCGGCCATGTTGGCCGCTTGTAAGGCGAACGCCCTACCCGCTGTGCTATCGCTGCAGCTGCAACGCAAATGTGGATCATTTTATTTACTTATTTATAATCAGTTTAATTTATGGGCTGGAGTGATAGCACAGTGGGTAGGGAGTTTGCCTTGCGCATGGCCAACCGGGCTGACCCGGGTTCAATTCCTCCGCCCCTCTCGGAGAGCCCGGCAAGCTATCGAGAGTATCTCGCCCTCACGGCAAAGCCTGGCAAGCTCCCCGTGGCGTATTTGATATGCCAAACACAGTAACAAGTCTCACAACGGAGACGTTACTGGGTCTGCTCGAGAAAATCAATGAATAACGGGAGGACAGTGACAGATTTATTTATATTTTCTTGGTCTGGGGACACACCCAACAGTGCTCAGGGCTTACTCCTGGCAGCATTTGGGGGCCCACATTGGATGTCAGGGACAGAACCTGCGTCAGTCGCATGCAAGACAAATGCTCTACCTGTTGTACTACCACTCTGGTCCCAGATAATGATTATTTTATTTTATTTTGGTTTTTTGGGTCACACCTGGTGATGTTCAGGGTGCAGAGAGCACCTGAGTATTTCAAAATCCCAAACGCAAATGTGATCATTTTATTTATTTATATTTTTGGGGTTTGGGGCCACACCCAGCAGTACTCAGGGCTTACTCCTGGCTCGGTATTCAGAATTACTCCTGACAGTGCTCAGGGGACCATATGGGATGCTGGGGCTCGAACCCGGGTTGGCTGTGTGCAAGGTAAATGTCCTACCCGTTGTACTACCGCTAAAGTCCAGATGTGAACTTTTTTTTTTAATGGCTTTTTGGGTCACACCTGGTAATGCACGGAGGTTACTCCTGGCTCTGCACTCAGGAATTATTCCTGGCAGTGCTCAGGAGACCATATGGGATCCTAGGAATTAAACCCGGGGTTGGCCGCGTGCAAGGCAAACGCCCTACCTGCTGTGCTATTGCTCCAGCCCCCCAGATGTGATCATTTTAATCAAGCTTAGAGTCTACCCCTTTCCAAGGAGAAGACTTACCTGTAAAAAAATACTCCCCACTTTCTCCAGTTCGCTACTACCAGAGGCCACTGAAGAACACAAGAGAAAGAGAATCAGGAGGTGCTTGGCAAGCCCCTCTGAAGCCCCCAACTGTGGCTAGCTACCCAGCAGAAGCTGTGGGGGGCGGGAGGGTGGGAGGGGGTGGGAGGGGGTGGGGGTGATGAGAAGAGCCAAACAGGCGCTGGGAACAGCAGCCCAGGGAAAGGCCTGGGGAGAAAGGGCTGCAGATGCGGTGGGGGGGTGGGTGGCAGGGAGGGCACAGTGCATGCCGAGGACCCTCCCCCATCGCTATGTAAGCCACAGGAAGGCGAGTGCGGCGATCACCAGGCTGGGGCCTGGCTCCGACCACCAACCTCCAAACTTCCACTCCATGTCGATAAGCTGGTTGACTGTCAGAGTCTGACCCGCCGCCCAGTACGCGAGCCTGGGGGCCGTCTGCTTCCACTGGAACAAATAGGCAAAGTCACAGTCACAGTGGGGGTGACCCCCCTCCGGCCCTCACCACCCCCCACTCCCCAGCACAGCTAAGCTTCCCTCCCATCCGGTGGGCACAGTCCTGGCTGGCACAGCGGGCCGGGCGCTGGCCTTGCACATGGCTAGTCTCGGTTCAGTCCCCCGCATCCCATCTGGTCCCCTGAGGGACCCTGAGCAGAGAGACAGGAGTCATCCCCCGACACTGTGCACCCTCGCCCCACAGAAAAACAGACTGCGGATCCTGGGCAGGGGGTGTTGGGAGAGGACAGAGGGGGGGAAAACAGTATAAATGTCTTTCTGGACCACTCTGGGTGGTGCTCAGGGTCACTGCTGGCATTTGGGAGGGCAGATGTGGGGCTGGAGACCAGCACACGCAAGTTTAACCCCTGTACTCTCTCCTACTCAAAATGAAATAAATCCTTCCTTCCTTCTTTCCTTCCTTCCTTCCTTCCTTCCTTCCTTCCTTCCTTCCTTCCTCTCTCCCTCCCTCCGCCTCCCTCCTCTCTCTTTCCGTTTTTGTTTCCCTCGTGGGTTTTGTTTTGGCAGTGGGGGGGCCACACTCTGCGGTGCTCCCGGCTTTCTCCTATCTCTTTAGGGATCACTCCTGGAAGGACTCAGGGAACCATATGGGGTGCTGGGGATTAAACCCGGGACATAGCATGCTAGGCAAGTACTTGCTGTACTATCCTTCGGACCCAAATATTTTCTTACATCCCTGAACTTAATCTAGGCAGCAACAAAAACTAAACATTGCTGCTTAAAAGCTGCTTGGTGGGGAGAAAAAGAAAACAAAACCAAGAAAACCAAACAGAGGGATCGTACAGCAGGTAGGGTGCTTGCCTTGCCAGGGGGTAAATCTTGGCACTACATATGGACCCCTGATTTTGTTAGGAGGGATCTCGGAGTGCAAAGCCAGGAGTAAGCCCTGAGCACAAATAGGCCCCCCCCTCCAAAAAAAAAAGAAAGAAACAGGGCTGGAGCGACAGTACAGTGGGCCAGGCATTTGCCATGTGTGCAGCTGACCCGGGTTCAATCCCGTATGATCCCCCGTGCACCACCAGGAGTGATTCCCTAAGTGCAGAGCCAGGAGTTAGTCCTGAGCACCTCTGGGTGTACCTCCCGCTGGCAAAAACAAACAAATAAAACAAACAAAAATAAACCCAAACCAAACATCAGCCTGACTGTCCCTCCGTGAACCCCATGAAGCTGGGAAACGCCTTCTCAAGGGATGGCTTTCCCCAAGTCAGCGTTCTCCGTGTTTGTGGTCCTGAAGCAAAGCGAGTGACCTCCACTGGCCTTGACCGAGAGGGTGCCCGTACCTTGTCGGCAAAGTGAACAGCTTTCTCCTCACTCAGACCTGGAAGAGAGCAGGAGGAAAGTGGATCGTTGCCGCAATGCAGAGTGGGCAGTGACTGGGGCCAGCACGGGGACACTTACCCAGAGTGAGCAGGTCAGCCCGGACCTGCTCGGCTGCGAGACTCCTCTTCAGGGCCCCTGGGAAATGGAAGAGAAGATCAGAAAAGGGCAGATCACCACCTCAGCAAACAGCTAACAGTGAAGGGGCACGAACTCTGTGACGCAGAGGATACAAGCTGGGTGCTGTGAGGGTCCGAAGCTCAATGGAGAGCAAAGCTGCAACTTCTAACGACTAGAGAAGGGCCGAAAAGGTGGTGCAGTGGGAAGGGAGCTTGCTTTGCACACATCTGACCTGGGTTCCATCCCCGGCATCCCAGAGGGTCCCTGGAGCACCACCATGAGTGATCCCTGAGTGCAGAGCCATGACCAAATCCTGAGCACTGGCAGGTGTGGCCCAAAACACCAAAACCAAAGCAACTGTGGGAGACAGCACATAGGGGTTGACAGTCCCGTGGGTGAGGATGACAGAGGCACTGAGAAGCCTTGCTGGACATGTAGACAGAAAGACCAGGCCCAGGGATTCTTGGAGCAAAGGTGGGGAAGCTCAGGATCAGGGAGAGGAGACATGGCTGAGAACCATACTGGACGGTACAGTGCAGTTACTGAAATACTGAAATTAATGGACCAAAATTAAAATTAGGGCTGGAGCACAGTGGGTAAGGTGCTTGTCTTGCATGCAGCTGACCTGGATTTGATCCCCGGCACCCGATGGTCCCCCTCAAGCCCTGCCAGGAGTAATTCCTGAGTGCAGAGTCAGGAGTAACCCCTGAGCATTGCCAGGTGTGGGCACCCCCCCAAAAAAAAATAAGATTAGAGCGAGTAGGGCTGGAGCAATAGCACAGCAGGTACGGCGTTTGCCTTGTATGCGGTCGACCCGGGTTCGATTCCCAGCATCCCATATGTCCCCTGAGCACCACCAGGGTTAATTCCTGAGTGCAGAGCCCGGAGGAACCCCCTGTGCATTACCGGGTATGATCCAAAGGTAAAAAAAAAAAAAAAAACACAGATTAGAGCTAGAGAAAAGGCACAACAGGCTGGTGCACTCCTAATGCTAACAGGAGCCCTGGGTTCGATCCCCAGCATGGCTCCCCCAGCCTGGAGTAGTAAGGCAGGAGTAGGACTGAGTACTGCTGGGTATGGTTCCCTCCCACCAAACTTAATAAAACTAAAATGAAATCAAGTTGGGTATGAAATTCTGCTCCTTAGCTGCACTGGCTCTTCAGTGCGAGCTGGTCCAGGAGGGTTCCTATGGATGGCACAAGGGTGAGTGGAGGCCGGCAGCAGGCAACCGCGAGGCAGCATGCACAGACGTCTGAGAACAACACATCTAAAACACGTGCACGAGCCTGTCACCAAGATGCTACCTTGATGGAAAGGAAGAACAAGGTCCCACTGGAACCTGCAAATTCCATTTTCGGAAAGTCCAGCCAGGGACTGGAGAGAGAGCACCATGGGTAGGGCGTTGGCCTTACCATGCCCTCAGAACTACACATGGTCTAGAGGGCTGGAGCACTTGGGCACTTGCACGCTGCCAACCCAGGTTTGATCCTCGGCATCCCATAGGGTCTCCTGAGCATGACCAGGAGTGATCTCAGAGTGCAGAGCCAGGAGTTGCCCTTGAGCCAAATAAGAAAATAAGTAAATGAAAGAACTAAAACATAGTGTCTCTTGACCATCTCCAGGGGTGATTCCTGAGCACCACCAGGCATGGCCCCCAAGACCAAAAACAAACGAAAGACCCAGGAAGTCCACGGGGTCAAGAGTTTGGCTTTGGCCATTCACAAGTTCCCCACACAGAAGAGTCTTCAAAGCTGGACTCAGGGGCCAGAGTGATAGTACAGCGGACAGGGAGTTTGTCTTGCATGATGCCGACACCGGCATCCCGTGTGGTCGCCTGAGTACCGCCAGGAGTGATTCCTGAGTGCAGAGCCAAGAGTAACCCCTGAGCATCACTGGGTGTGACCCATAAAGCAAAAAAAAAAAAAAAAAAAGCTGGACTCAGAGGCCCTGGGCCCTGTCCTGCAGGAGTCACTCTGCTCTGCTCCCATGCTTCAATTCCTGAAAACAAAGTGTTTCCAGAGACTGGCCTTCTCCACATTAGACCTGCAGGCTACCGTCTGGAGACACAATTTGGCAACGGCTTCAGAATTTTCCATTTCTTCATCTTCCACTAGTGACTAATTAAATCAGAAGATATCCACCAACACTGGAGTGGGGGGAGAAGGTGCAAAGGAAGACCCTAAATCCAGGTCTCCACCCCCGACCCTGTACTCCAGAAAAACAATCCTAAAGGCTCCCGTCCCCTGCAAAATAAACCATGTAAACAAAGGGAGGAAATCTTTTATCTCCAGAATCAGACAGAGCAAGGAAGCCAAGGGGAAGCGGAACAGGCAAGACCCCAGGAAAACTTGGCTGTAAAGGCGCCCCCAAAGGGGGCTGCTTCCGAGTCAACCCAGTTAACTCCTAAGGCCCACACCGGGCACCTCCCTAACACTGGTTCCTCAGGGAAGGTTCAGCTCGGATACTCTTGTTTCGTTTTGTTTTTTTGCAACGCTGGAGATCAAACCCAAGGGGCACACAAATGTGAGGAATGTGCTCTACTTCTCTTTTGTTTTGTTTTGGGGCCACATTCGGTGATGATGCTCAGGGTTTACTTCTGGCTCTGGACTCAGGAATCACCTCCTGACAGTGCTCAGGGGACCTAGGGGATGCCAGGAATCAAACCTAGAGGGGCCACGTGCAAGGCAAGTGCCCTAGCCATGAGACTATCTGGCCCCCGTGCTCTCTCTACTCTGAGCTCTACCCGTGGCCCTAATTCTAGTATTTTACTTGATGGCCCCACGATAAGACACTCAGCTGGGAACTATTAAGACGCCCTTGATTATTCAGGGAAACTGAAAATCCGTAAAAGTCTGGGAGAAGAAAATATGACTCAAGCGCAGACTCGGTACTTGCACTGCCAAGGACAGATCCAACCTCGGGTGGCAGAGATAGTGTGGCGGGTTACGGTGTGTATCGTGTATGCAGCTGAGCCGTGCGGTCAGGCAGGGACCGGACAGAGGTGCAGGAGGGCAAGGGACTGGGCGAGGCCAGTTAATTAATTAATTATTAATTCTCTTAGGTATTTGGAAACCTGTGGTTTACTTTTGGCTCTGTGCTCAGGAATCACTCCCAGTGGGGCTCAGAGAACCACACGTGGTGCCGGAGATCTAACTCGAGTTGGCTGTGTGCAACACTCGCTCTACCACCCGCAAACCATTTGTTTTGTTTTCTGCTTTCCTTTCTCTTTTGCTTTTGGCGGGGGTGGGAGAGTATCACACCTGGCAGTGCTCGGGGCTTACTCTTGGATCTGCGCTCAGGGATCATCCCTGACCATGCTCCGGAACCATAAGTGCTGAGGTGCTGAGGATCAAACCGAAGGTCAGTTACATGTGACGCATGCCCCAAAGGTGGACTGGCTGGACCCACCCTGGGAGGTTCTGGGGCACACAGCCGCTGCCAGATGCTGGGAAACATCCGTGATTTGCAGCAACAGCAATCCGCTCTCCCCAGGTCCCTGTGAGGTGGGAGAAGGGACGGGAGCAGCAACCGATAAGGAAACTGCAGGGAGGAGAGTGAGAAAAAGCAGAAGCTGAGTCCAGGCAAGCCAGGCCAGCGTTCGGCCAGGCTCCATTTGTGATGGTTGCGGAATGCTGATTCCTCCTGCTTTCCCCTTCCGATCAGAAGTGATTCCTTAGGAAGGGGAAGGGGCGTTATCAGTCTTTCTTTCGAATAAAGCAAGGAGTCACAGGGACAATACGGGGGGTAAGGTGCTTGCTGTGCACTAACTAAGTCGACCTGAGTGGAATCCCTGGCACCCCATATGGTCCCCCATGCTCTGCCAGGAGTGATCGATAAGTGTCAAGCCACAGTAAGTCCCGAGCATAGCTGGGTATGCACCCCCCCCCAGAAAAAAAATCAAATAAACATCAGCTATCAAACACCCCAAGAGTCAGAGACCTTTCGTAAAATATCTCTATATATACGTGTGTGTATGTGTGTGCATGTGCGTGTGCGTGCGTGTGTGTGTGTGCGCGCCTGTGTGTGTATACTTAGTTCTTGTCTACTAGTGTTCAGGGGAGCATGTTGTATTGGAGATCAAACCAGGGTTGTCTGCAAAGCACCGAGCCAACTCCTTGAACCTAAGCTTCTGCGCTCCACGTTCCCCCTTACATTTTGGCAGTGCTCGGGGTTTACTCCTAGCTCTGCACTCAGGGATCCCTCCTGGTGGTGTGCGGGGGACCATATGTGCTGCCAGGGATCCACTCCAAGTCGGTTGGTTGCAAGCAAGGCAAATGTCTTCTTTTGCTTCATTTTTATTTTGGGGCCATACCCAGCGATGCTCTGGGCTTACTCCTGGTTCCGCACTCAGATGTTACTCCAGGGTGTGCTCGGGGAACCCCAACCCACCTTGGGTCAGAGATCCAACCCGGGTCGGCCCTGTGCAAGGCAAGCGTCTTACCCACTGTACTATCTCTCTGGTCCTGCTTTAATTTCTTCTTTTTCCCCTTTTTTGGGGGGTAAGGGGGGGAGATGGGGAAACTGCAGGAATCAAACCTTGGGCCTCACACATGGCCAAGGCAGGTGCTTCTCAGTGGCCGAGCTATGTTAGACCTGAAAAAATAGGCAGAATAACCTGCTCCCACCCTGCCCGTTTGGCTTCAGGACTGGCAATCTCAGCTGGCATCTGGGCCGCGGAGAAGCACGGCAGAAACACACGGGAGGCTTCTTTCCTCTGATGTCACACACTGGGGCAAATAAAATGCTTCAATGGAAGAAAAATAAAGAACAGGCACAGGAGATCAGGAAAATGAATCAAAGAGCAGGGGCCGGAGCGACAGTACAGCAGGGAGAGCGACTGTCCTTCACGTTGCCGACCTGGGTTCGATCCCCGGCATCGCATATGGTCCCCCAAGCACCTCCAGGAGTAATTCCTGAGTGCAGAGCCAGGAGCAACCCCCGAGCATCCCCTGTGTGACCCCCAAAAAAAGACAAATATAATAATTTAGGCACCAGAGCGATAGTACAGCAGGTAGGGT